CCTCGATAAAATACTCGCAATGACACAATTGCATGGTTTACAGCTATCATACGGTCTACAACACCTCCCTGGCAAATATGTGGCTGTTGAAAATTTGAAACGTATCCAAAATGGTTTTTACCTATGCCGCATCCCAGCATTGGGACGCAATATCCCACGTGGCAAAAAAGGTAGGTCCCAGCATTGCGACGTATGTCGAAAATGTGTTAAAGGCGTGCCCCGCGTTCAAACACTGTGAGCGCACAGCTCAAATACTTATGCCAAGATGGCAAATAACATAGAAAAGAAGAAAAAAAATAGAGAAGACCCGCAAAATGCCCCATGTTGAGCCCCAAGGTGAGCCACGTTTGTACGAGCACAAGGCGGAGAAAGGCGTAGTCGACCGACTTGTTAGTGCCAGCTTTATCTCCTTATCACCTCACTCCACCATTCGAAAGGGAGAGTTAGCAGCACTATCAGGCAGCAGTGGAAAATTAATGTTGGGCGTTGCCATAGCAAAAGGGCGGAGCCATGGCCTAGATAACGGAGATGCAACAGACAGGACTACCATATCCAGAGAAGGCGTCTGTGCATCAAAAGAACGCGGGCCGTGTCTTGCAAAGACATTTTTTCATTCTTCGAAGAACTGTAAGTGCTATCTCCTTGTAAGATTGAGGGTATGAAAGGGTCTCATTCAAGGTGCTCTTGACGGATTTTTTTGCTGCGTACTTCTAGGATGTGTTAATAAGCACCTCGTGGCTCATATAGTAAGCGTCACATCCGCCATCTTGCCATCGTCCCTGGTGCCTCAGAGGAGGAGGAAGGCTCCAGGGTAGGTGAACCAATTAATGAAAATTGGATTTGCGTCCCGTCGTAGGGGTATTAACTCAACTCTTTTAACTATTAACTCAATTCGTTCCTTCGCACCGGATCCACGTCTGTTCTAACCTATTTTGCTCATTCTCAAAACCATGGCCTCACAAAAATGGTGTACCATTTCTTAGCTTCACGGGAGTTGACATTACCTTACAATGTGGCTCTTTCACAGAACTCTACGGAAGTAACTCTACAGAATGCTTCGAGAAGTTGCCAAGAACGAACAAAATAACAAAATGTCCCACCTATTACGTGACGAAACCCCGTTAGAGCTGCTGTTTGCATCTAACTGGAGAATCGATTCCTTTTCACGGGCTTTGTGACCTAAGTGAAACCACCTAACGACCGGATGCACTAAACAATGTTTCCTCAATTATTCTTTGCATTTCGAAGATCGGCGCAAAGGAAGGACAGCTTTGAATACTAACAAGGTGAGACCTCTGGGAGAGAAAGGAACGGTTCTCGAGATGTACACTAGACTCAGCCGTTCGCTGACATTTCTCGAATATGAATCTAAAATATCCCCAGTTTTCAGGCAGTCACTACTGAATGGCAATGTGCTCAGATTGCCAACGGAGGGACAGACATTACGGTGATCTAAAGATTACAGCGGCACGTTTGCAAAGTCGACATCCAACGTCTGAGCCTTTCTGACACTCAGATCGTGTCCAGACTTCGTGATCGCGCGATCCAGTTCGCGTGAATTGGTTTGCGCAAACTGGGTCGTGCG